GACTCTAACCAAACCACCTGATTGGTGCCGACATGGAGTTCAATGGCTTGATAAAACAAAGAAAGTAGAACCAGACAGGCCAACCCCTGACCCTAACGGTAACCCCAACACTGTGCTTATCTACAAAACGTGATTGCAATTACAGCACTGACCGAAAAAAAAGGGGATTACCGGCAAGATTAGCCTTTTCGGCACAAGAACTGGTTCTGGACAGTTGTAAGGAGCATACGTAACCCTCACAAACCTTTTAAAGCTCATTGCACCCTTAAAAAGTGCACCCCCCCTCCCTATACCCAATTGCACCTTCCCTATTGACTATAGCACATGATTACATGCATTATAAATCAGCAGTGCTGCATGGACACAGACGTCGAGGAACCTTCAATGACAGTTCTAAAAAAATTGCACACCCCAATAGGAAGTCCCATTAAAGTCAATGGAAATCAGAGCAGGGCCCAAAAAAGTGTCATTTACAAAGGGGCAAGTGATGGAAAATCGTGCAGGATGGTTTGAGAAGCTCCCGACAGTGGCGGAACTACCAGGGTCGCAGAGGTCGCGGCCGCGACAGCTCCCGATGAGATAATCGGGCCCCAATAAAAAGTCTAAGCCACTTTCTTTAAATATTCCATCAGGGTTCCTTACATAGAAGGTTGGGACCTGGTGGGACCGGCCAGCAATCTAAGGGAATTCAAGGGACAGTAGAAGCAGATATAAGGCAGAAGCTGCATATGGAGCAGCCTTTGGTCCATTTCTTCTAGAAGCCTTTTGGGAATCAAAACCACAAAAAATTTGGTCAGAAGCAACTTAAAAATATATCTAAATTAGATGATGACACACAGACAGTTCAGGGAACAATGTATTCCACTTTGCCTGTTGCTGGGCACTTCTGGTCCTTCGCCCTCATTGGACTTATTCAATGAGTGGTATAATGGCTCCACCTAGTGGTCACAAAGCAAAGTACACCTACAAGAATGTAGAAGCCGTTTTTGTTTTTTTACTTGTTCTGTGCACTTTTAATCCAGTTTTTAAACCTCTGTGTGTCTGGCAGCGAGGTTTTTCTCTCCTCTTTATTTCAGCTGCTTGTTTAGTACTTTTTTTTAAACATTTGCCACATTTGCAAAGCAGCAAAAATGGAGTCCTAGAAAACAAAATGCATGTATTTTTATTATTATTATACAGGATTTATATAGCGCCAACAGTTTACGCAGCTCTTTACAATATAAGGAAGACATTACAATCACAATACAATTCAAGACAAGATGGTAAGGAGGGCCCTGCCCCTGAGGGCTTACAATCTAAAAGGGAGGGGGAAGTGATACATGAGGAGGTAGCTGTGTGGGGATGAATTGTTTGAGAAAGTGATAGTTCATTGGTTAGGTTGAGGTGGGATCAGCTTCTCTGAAGAGATGAGTCTTTAGGGAACGCCTAAAGGCAGTCAAGGTGGGAGACAGACGGACAGGATGGGGTAAAGAGTTCCAGGGGATGGGAGAAACTCTACAGAAGTTCTGGAGGCGAGCATGGGAGGAGTTGACAAGGGAGCTGGAAAGCAGGAGGTCTTAGGAAGAGCGGAGGGGACAGTTAGGGTGATACTTTGAGACAAGGTTTGAGATATAGCCGGGGGCAGAATTGTGGATGGCTTTGTAAGTGATTGTTAGACCAGCACGAAAACAGCAGACGTAATCATGTTTAATACACCATTTTTTCCCCATCAAGGCTGAAAGGCGAGGGGACAGAGAAATGGCGGTCCATAGACAGTTCCCAGTTTTTGAGGCTCAGCAAAGCAATACAGAGACACGCACTTTGCTATGGAGTTTCCCCATCTCTGATAATCATTACCGTGGCCATTCGTTGTTTCAGCTATGTCCTGGGCCTCCCTATAATGAGGCAGCCCAAAGCTGTTGCCTCAGGTGGTATCTCTTTGGGTCATACGGAGGGGTGGCAGGCCGAGGTGGCTGGCCAGAGCATACCAGGTTGAAAAGAGCCAGGTGGGGAGATGTTTAGGGGCCATACACATCTCCTCTCCCAGCTCTTAGCAACCTGGGAGGCTCTGGCCGGCATCCAACTTAGCTCCTGGAACCTGGTGGTGTTACTGGTTGCTTGGAGCTAAGTGGGACGCTCTGGTCCTGCCCAACTCCTGGCAACCAGTGACATCAGTGAGCCAGGTGGGGCATCACCAGGATGCCGGCCAGAGCACCATTAGTGTGCAACCCAAACACCCTACCCCTACCAACCACCAACCATGACAAAGATATTTGCACACAATGATATGACTGATAATACCATTACAGTGAAGGGCTTGCATGCCCCACACATATTTTCTTGCTATTTACTTGCTGGAGATGGACTTTTATGGGCACTTGGGGTTACAGACTCATACTCATATGACTGTTAATAGTTCCCTTCAATGGAGGCTGGCTGCGACCATCGCATGGAATTGGGCTGGTCGTTACTGTTGGTGGGTGAGTTGTCTTTGACCTCCTCCAAGCTGCTTTTGTATTTCCATTGACTCCTATAGGTAGAGAAGCAACGCGGACACAGAGCCTTAAAACTCTAATATCACAGAATCCGGGACTGAGTTGCTTTGCTGAAACTTGCTCCTCCCATTAAAAGCTTATTTACTGTAACGGACCACGCTCACATGAAGTACGGCATCCAGCACCCCCAGACCGGTGCTTTGTAAGTACTAATGATTATTTCATGGCCGTGGTTGTTATATCGGCTACCCAAATCTAATTCAGAACTCGCCCAGAGAACATCTGATTTGGTCCAGTTCATAAAAAACTCTTGCAGTGTTATAAGTGATGATGATGAATGGGGTGATGAGCTGCAGAAACGCGTTGGAACATTTCCTGTGACTGATAAATTCTAGACATGTGCACCAGCAAAAAATGTGTTTAGTTTTGATTCGGATTTGGCTTTATTTCGTTTTTTGGAATTCGTGTCCGAAAGTCAATTCGTTTGGGAATTCGGATTCAGACTAAATCCGTTAGCGGAAATCCGCACAAAAATTAGTTTTGGTTTCGTTACGTTCGTTGCAGCAAAGTGACATTTAAGAGGGAAAAAAAGTTTTTCTGTTCTCAAATGTCACTTTGCTGCAACAAAATTTTTTCCAAAATACAAAAAAAACGAATCGGAAATTCGAAAAACGGACATTCGGATTCGTTTGCATTCGTTATATCTGTAATTCAGAATTTGGATAGATCCGAATCTCCGAAATTTCTTCCGAATTTCGATTCGGAACGAAACGAATCGCGCATGTCTAATAAATACATATTGGACTTACTTTGTGGCGCTCTCATCTCTTTATTGTACCGACCGCTGACATCACGAGCACATTTCCAGGACTATCGGTTTCTTAATATCTGCCTTCAATGAAATCACTAAGAACCCCCCTTAGGTGAGGGATCGGCGATCCACCAATATTACTGCATCTCCAGCCTTGGTTTTCAACTGGTGGGTCACGACCCCGTGATCAGTGGGTCGCCGCATGCCTTCTACTTTTCTAGGTGAGAGGCTCCTCTGCTTCCCCCTAGTGCCAAGCAGCCATTCATATGGTGTCCGGCGCTGAGTGTCAGCTTGAGGTGGGATGGAGCTATGGCCGCGAGGGAGCTCCACCCATACGTGCATTGCTTACAGCTTCCTCCTGTGTCCTGTAGAGGTGCCTGGACCGGAGTGATGTCACATTCTGGCTCCCGGCACCTCTACAGTGCGCGCATGGAGGCTGTACAAGCAATGCACATATGGATGGAGCTCTGTCACAGGAATGCAGCCCACATTGGACCCCAGGCTGAGGATCCACACCAGGACTCGTGAGGAAGGGGAGACTGGGTGGACCTTAAAAAAAAAAGGGGGGTATGTGTGTGTGAGATTGTTTCTGTGGTTGTGTGTATGTCTGTCAGTGTTTTTGAGGGTCCGTTCACACTAGTACAGTGCATTAAACACATAGTACTGTGCCATTACCACACCGTACCATGCAATTGCACCTACCGTGCATTCTGGGGTGGGCGGTGTGTTGCATTGCCATTCATTTTAATGGTACCCCAAATGCATCCTCTCACCCCACAGTTCGGATTCTGATGTGACAGTTTTTCTAGAACAATACAGACTAATGATTTCAGGACAGTGGTGGAGCGCCAGAGCCCGGTCCCAGCTACAAGCGCTGCAACCGCTACAACCCTTGTAGTTCTCATAAAAATCCCAAGTATCGGCACCGGTATCTGAACATCCCTAAATATTATTCTGCGACCAAGTGTCAGTGTATCATTGTCCTGGGACTCCCAGTATATGTGTGTCATTGCTCTGGGACCATCAGTGTCAGTGCATCATTGTCCTGGGACTCCCAGTGTTAGTGCGTCATTGCTCTGGGACCATCAGTGTCAGTGTATCATTGTCCTGGGACTCCCAGTATATGTGTGTCATTGCTCTGGGACCATCAGTGTCAGTGCATCATTGTCCTGGAACTCCCAGTATATGTGTGTCATTGTTCTGGGACCGTCAGTGTCAGTGTATCATTGTCCTGGGACTCCCAGTGTTGGTGCGTCATTGCTCTGGGACCATCAGTGTCAGTGTATCATTGTCCTGGGACTCCCTGTATATGTGTGTCATTGCTCTGCAACCATCAGTGTCAGTGCATCATTGTCCTGGAACTCCCAGTGTTGGTGTGTCATTGCTCTGGGACCCAAAAGCAGTCTCACCAAACTGGATCTCAGCTTCTGCTGCACACAGGAACACGGGATAAACAGCAGCATACACTGTGGGAGTTAGGTGACCGAGCTGTGAAAAACTTTTCTGCCTGAAAGTATTGCAGAATGATATCATTTCTTACAAAAGAAGCTGTGCTCAGTGTACATGGATTAATACCTAATGGTGTATATATAAGACAGGTTCAAATTAAGGAGAGAGGAATGGTGAACGTCGATCCACTCTCCATCTTCACTAAGACTGGCACTTTCCCAACCATCTGAAGAGACGTATGGATATATAAATGCTTCGCCTCCGCACCAGGAATATAATCTTTAGCAACCGATTCTCCATAAGCTTGAATTTTTGCTTCTGTAGATGCCTCAGTGGGTTTTCCCTGTTAAAACATTCATATGTTCATGGTAAGACAGATGGATCTGGTATCTTGGTGGATATTGGAGTTTTGGATAAGATTCACAGAGTTTGGTATCTCAATGCCAAACTCTCACACACCTTGGGAGCCCCAGATGTACTCTAGACCCGCCTGGAAGGGTCTTTGGGTCACCGTTAGTGAGACACTTACCCTTGGTGACCTCTCAACCATTTATTTGATTTTTTTCGGACTTTTTTATATATACAGGTGAAACTCGAATAATTAGAATATCGTGCAAAAGTAATTGCTGCAAAATTGGCCCAAACCAAGTACTGAGTACTTATGCATGCTTGTACTTTTCAGAGGTCCGATATTGTTCTATGTACAATCCTTGTTTTATTGATTGCATGTAATAATCTACTTTTTTGAGGTTGTGGATTTGGGGTTCTTGGGGTTTTCATGAGCTGTAAGCCATAATCATCACAATGATGACAAATCACGGCTTGAATTATCTTGCTTTGCATGTAATGAGTATATCTCATATATTAGTTTCACCGCATAAGTTGCATTAGTGAAATAAATGAAGTTTGCACGATATTCTAATTATTTGAGTTTCACCTGTACATGACTGCAAGGCACCCCTTGACATTTGATTAGTCCCACATGAAACTGAAATTGGTATACTCCGAACATATGAAAAATCTGCTGCTGCAGGTACTGGCAATATTGCTTTTCATGCTTTCTTGTACTCCAGGTAGTGATTGTAACTTAATTCCTTAATGTTTTAGTATGTTTTCTTCTGTTTTGGAGAGGAGGCCTTAAATCCTATTCGACATCGTGTCATTACATACACGGCAAAGAGACGTAAAATACTCTGATCTTACCGACACATGTTTTCTCAAATGTTCTCCATCTATTTACAAAGCTGGTCGATTCCTCCTCGCTGTGTATGTCCATCCATGACTATGATATGGTAGCCTCTTGTTTTATTGTTGTACGCTTTAGTTATGTTATGTATTCATTGAAAATCCAATAATACAGATGCTCCTCGCTTAACGACTTACCTGTTTTGCGACCACTCGCACTTACGACCGCCCTCCGACCTCGCGCGTCAGTGCGACGTGTCGCCGTGGGAAGTGATGTCCTCCGATCTTCACTGCGGGTCCCGGTGAGTATTTTCATTGCCCGATGTACAGTACGCTGTTCGGTACTGTACATCTGCGACGCTATACAGAACTGTACTAATGCAGTACTGTATAGAGTTCCTCACTTAACAACCAATCCGTTTAACGACCTGGTCGTAGGAACGGAACTCGGTCGTTAAGTGAGGAATACCTGTACATGCTAAAAAAAAAAGGATTCACAGAGTGGAAACAGAGGTCTTCTAGAGATTCGGCAATGTCTACTGCTCTGTAATCAACCCAACCACATTTTTTTTTAATGTATTCTCTGAAAATTCAAGACGCAAAACACCAGAGAAGGGTAAATCAACCAATCAGAAGTGTGCCATCAGGCTACAGGTAAAATTATACCATAAAGAGTTTGTAAATGCAAGGTGAAATGTGACCCCCCTGTACCTGTACAACTTGCGATACAACAAGTACATTATATATATATATGTTTTATGTAGATATTTTAATAACCCAAACCGCCATCAGACACAGAACACGCCGTTGTATTCATTGCACAATGTCATTTATTTCTTCAATACATTGTCTGTAATAAATAAATTAACTACATA